GAGAGAGCATGAGTCCATGTGACATGTTAGTGCTACTTATCCTTAAAAAAGATGGGACTTGGAGAATGCACATTGTCTGTAGGGTAATCAACAGCATAATGGTAAAGTATCGTCATCCCAGACCGAAAACTTACGGGTTCTATTGAATGTTTGGTTGAAAATATTTTTGGGGAAAGTGATTTTTAAAAAATCTCTCCCAAACAAAACCCGTAAGTTCATATTTTATTGTTATACCCCTCTCTAGACATTTGATTTATTGGGGTTCAGTCATTTTTTAGATTTCCATTTCGGATATGAATTTGCAAGAGTATTAGATTAGATGTCTCTTGCTCTAATCCACATGATACTTTACAAATGTTACCTGTTATGGCTGTCGGATATGGATTTTTTAGGACTAAATCCACACGTAAAGCTTGACTAATGTTCGTTGCTGTTTTGTTAGCGTGGTTATTGTTGCTTGAGTATTACAATCAACTGTTGCTTGACATATTTCTGATGAAACTTGTTTTGTTGACACGCGCTAACAATCTCTATCCTTTCTCTGTGTAGTATCTAGTTTTTTATTAGTGTAATAACATTTCTTTCACAAATCTTTTGATTTGATGCAGTGCCATCTTAATTCTGTTGATGTGTTATTGGCAACATGCACCAGTCCTTGTGTGAAAGATGGGAAGAACTAGTTCATTGAACCTTGGTTCATGGATTTCTTTGAATCTCCAAACCCAGTTAATTGGAAGACATTGATGTTCTCCTTGTCTGTGCTCGACGCCATAGAAAATTGTACAACTTTGTTAAATTTGCCTGGCTTTGTACTAATAATTTGGTGACATTATACCTTGCTCTGGATTTATCTTTACCTGGTTAGGTTGTTTAATGTACTGAGGAGAGTATTTTCGAGAGAAGCAAAATCAGTAAACAGCCACAAATGGGTGGTGGCTCGACTTTACTGCGTTCATTTCAAGTAGTTGGCACAAGTACTCAGATTTGTTAGATTGTGGGCTCCATTTTAAATATATATTCGGTTAAGTTGCGTAGATGCTATATATTTGCTGAACAAGGTAGGCCTCTGGGTTTACTTTGTGCTTTTTTGAGTTCATATAACTTGCAAGGCAGTCTTTCATTAGTAATTTGATTGCTATAATTTATAATTATTGGGAACTTTAAAATTTCTTGATGTTCAAATTTATGAGAAAAGTGGGTCTTACTTATGAGTGAAGAAGTCAAAAATGACGGTCGGAATTGTGAAATAATGATCAAAAATTTGCTATCAAAGGGGGCTTAATCAGGCAAAACAATAATATCTTTGGATTGTTGATTGTTTGACATATGTTTGGGTAACATTTGAAGTAAATAAGAGTTTAGTTAAAGTCAATTTTCATTTCAACTACACTTTCAAAGTTACCACCTTTTGTGTTTTTTACCACTATATCAATAATCTTTTTTGAATTGTGAGACCTTTAAAAAAAAAAATTTGAATTGAGAGACCTTTCAAAAAAATCTTCTATTGGTTGATAAATTATCGGCGAACATGAGACAATTTTTTGAAAAAAAGAAGATAGCTTTTGTAGAATTGAACGAGAATCAGAATTAGACGGTTTGGTTCCAATTTAGTTTCGTTTGGTCCTCATTAAATAAATTTTATTTTATTTTTTCTCTTTTATTTTTAAATATACAATTTTACATAAAATAATATTACACGTAAATTGAAAATCTTTTTGTCTTTTTCAACTATTCATTTTTTTTTAAAAAAAATTATTCCATCCATTTTCATTTCCAAAAAATGGATGTCAATAGTTTTAGTGATTTCAATTCTATTTACAGAAGAAAAAAATTTATGATTTGGTTTTGTGATTCATGAAATGAATTGAGCTATCTGATGTCCATTGTATTTGTCCACATGCATTTTTGTGTTTTACATAACTAAATTCTTTTAGAAAATTGAATAATTCACAATATGTAGATTATATGGATACATTTTATTTAATTCATGGTAGATGTTAAAATCTAGATTTTAATTTAAATTAGATTTTAGTCTAAATAAAAATTAAAAATTAATTTAGTCATATATTTAATGTGATTCATATCTTTCAACCACAGTTCTTCAATTTTTATTAAAATTGACTAAAAATCGAATTTTAATCCTATCAAATGGGCATAATAATATCTGAATATAGTTAACCTATGTGAGATTTCAAATTTACGTTGGGCCCACCAAAATAATATTCCTGTGGTATTATACGAGCTGCCTCTTAGTCGTGGCCTCTTCTCCTTGGAAACGAACAAATTCAAATATTCTAAAATCCAAATACCTAACGATTCTCATTTTTTCCATGTTTTGGTTACGGCTGCTTTCAAATTTAGACCAAAGAGGAGACTTATTCTAAGTTAACAATCATCATACATATAATTATTGCTCGGTTAAATGTGTGCGACAGATTTAAATTTAGAAGAATAGTCGAGGGTAAAACTCGATATTGCTTGAATATTAAACTTAGATGTTGACATTTTATTTAAGATTGTAATTTATAATTTAATAATATCAAAGTTCAACAAATTGAAGTACATTCTATATGATTTTATATTTATTATTATCTTCATGGTGTTTAAAATCCAATTAGTCAAGTCTCTGTTTGGTAGAAATTTTTTAAACTAAATTTTGTGAAAATAAATTTTTTGATTTTGAAAAATTTGCGGCTAAAAAGTAGGAAAAATTGAGTTATCTTTTTTGTCAAGGGATCCAGGAATACAAGGTGTCACGTATATTAGCTCGAGGATGTGAAAGACGTTGTATGATGGGTCGAGGAGCCTCCTGAATTTATTGTTTCAATTCTCCTTCTCTCTCACATTTTTCTTTGTATTGAGGATAATTTTGTCTTTCTATACATATTTGAGGCAATGTCGGTAGAAAATTTGTTGAAGACGATGACAAGTGGCTTAAGAAAGATTGAGAATAATAACGTTAAAAAATAAATGTCGAAATTAAAAGTGTAGAACTAATCAAAGAATGGAATCGAATATGACTTCAAAATGGGTTCTCTAAGATAGGGAATATGCGAATATAAAGGGCATTAAACGAAAAGGATAAAAACCTCAAGAAAATGGGTTCTCTAAGCAGGTTTGGACAAGTTTTGTCTTGCTCAGATAAGTAAACGAAAAATATTTTAATTAAATAACAAATATTACTATAAAATTGTTTGTGAATCAAATTTTTTATATTTTTTAATCAAATATTCTCTGAAAATTAACTTTTTAACAAATTTATTCTAAAAAATCTACATCAAACATACCTATATACTAACATATTCCTATTCATGTTTGTTTTAACAATAAAAGTAATTTGCTTATGAAGTCTAGTTATTCATGATATTTCTCAAGAACAAAATCTTTTTCATAAATTATTTGTAATATGTGCAAAATCGCGCAGATAATAAAAAGTACATACAAATTTGGTTTTTTTTTTCCCTTTATTTTCTAATTAATGTTGACATTTAAGAAACTACATATATTTAGGAATGGAAGCAAATTAAAATCTTGAAATCATACGCGTCAAGAAAAGAAAATGCAAATGTGTTCTAATATCAGATTGTTTCATCGAAAAGGAAAGTATTAAGATATTTTTGACGTATTACTTTAAAGTTTCAACAATTCGATTTTTCTCCATTTCATCTGAACTGCCATCATATTACTTATAAATATTCGAAAAGAGAAAAAAATAAAAATAAAAAAATCTTCCGAATGTTAAAGAAGAAAGAAATAGATAAAATTGTTAAACATATCTTGGATTTTCAATTTAATTTCAATAAATGCTAAATCCAAAACACCACCAGTGTTCTTCCATATAAACCCTAAGGAGTGCACTCTCAATTGAAAAATGACTAAAATTTACATTATAAATCAATAAATAATTTTCCTTGACGACCCCAATTTACATTAACATGTGTACTTATTTATTGTTCTATTAAGATGTCTATGAAGACGTATATAAAATTATAAATATTCGCATTCAAAGAAGTAATAACACCTTCAGGGTCTGTTCGATGGTGACTATGATAATTGATTTTTTTGACAAAAAGAGAGAAAAATGGGTTTTATATGTCAGTGAGAAAGTAAAAAATGATGATTGAAATAGTAAAATAACGATCAAAAAATTGATTTTTTGGAATGAGAAATCGCTACCAAACGGGCATAAGTTTCTATTTTGTGATTTCCACGTAACATCAAATAATTCGCCAATTTTGCCACTTAGACACGTTTTGGTGGCTAATGGTGGTAGTAATTTTCATGCTTGATCATTGACAATCATGTACTACTTTTCTCAAAAACTGCAATATTGCAATTCACATGTCTACCGTGTCAACCTCACCTTTCTGTGTATTAATAAATGCATTAAACAAAAATTAAGTTTTCAGTAAATTTTATTAAAAATTAGTGGAATATATTATTAAGCCCCTGCTTAAGTCCCATTATTTTGATTAATATATTTGAAATAGTAATTTTTCGAATAATATATGATTAAAAAGTGAGGAAATTATTTTAATTACGTTTAAAATTATTTTATTAGAAAAATGTATGATTGAAGAAGAATTTTAGAAAAAAATACATTTTAGGAAACGAGGCTCAAACTAGTGTTAAAAATTGTGAATCCAGTAAAAATATGGTTAAATTAATTGTTGAAACCAAATATTTCTAAAGCAAGCAATTCAAATATTTAATTCTTAAAACCATGCATGTCGTAGATTTTTTTATATATATTCAAGTAAATATTAGAAAATATCGTTAAATGCAAAATCAGTATGAATTTTTTTCAAATGTATATATGAATCTCAAGTCTCAACATAATATTTCAATAATTTTTTTTATCCTTTTGTCTAAATAATCCATAATATTGCTTCTTTTTTTCTCTCTTTTTTAAAAAAAAAAATTAAAATGTTGTTTTCTACCTAATAACAAAGAAGAAAGAAATAATTAATTTTTTTCCAAAAAAAAACAAAAATAATAAACAAATTCGCAGCCAGATCCACCTTATATTGACTTCATGAGTGTACCTTTTTCCACATCCCACTACCATTTTGTTTCTACCTCAAATTTTCCGAATCTCTACCATCCACCACCATCGCCGCCGCCGCCTACGCCACCAATGGGGAAAGGCGGATCACTCTCTGATGGGGTGGTGAAAAAAATTATCCTTTCCTACACTTACGTAGCCACATGGATCTTCCTCTCATTCACAGTAATAGTCTACAACAAGTACATCTTAGATCGAAAGCTCTACAACTGGCCTTTCCCCATCTCCCTCACCATGATTCACATGGCCTTTTGCTCTTCCTTGGCCATTATTGCCGTCCGAGTTTTCAAACTCGTCGAACCCGCCGCCCTCTCGCGGCGCGTGTACCTCACATCCGTCGTGCCCATCGGTGCCCTTTACTCCCTCTCCCTCTGGCTCTCCAACTCCGCATACATCTACCTATCCGTCTCCTTTATCCAGATGCTCAAAGCCCTGATGCCCGTTGCTGTGTACTCAATAGGCATCCTCTTCAAAAAGGATAGCTTCAAGAGCAACACCATGTTAAACATGCTCGCAATTTCAATCGGCGTCGCAATTGCTGCCTATGGAGAAGCTAAGTACGATTCCTGGGGTGTTTTTCTCCAATTGGGTGCAGTTGTTTTCGAGGCCACAAGATTGGTCATGATTCAGATTCTATTGACTTCCAAGGGTATTAATTTAAACCCCATTACTTCTCTATACTACGTTGCACCCAGTTGCTTTGCCTTTCTCTCCATTCCCTGGATTTTCGTCGAGTACCCAAAACTGAAGCAGAATTCGGGTTTTCATTTCGACTTCGTCATTTTTGGAACAAATTCCATATGCGCTTTCGCTTTGAACTTGGCCGTGTTCTTGCTCGTCGGAAAAACTTCTGCTTTGACCATGAATGTCGCCGGTGTGGTTAAGGATTGGCTGCTTATCGCTTTTTCATGGTCTGTGATTAAGGATACAGTGACTCCGGTGAACTTAATCGGGTACGGGTTGGCATTTTTGGGCGTTGCATACTACAACCATTTGAAATTGCAGGCGTTGAAGGCCAAGGAGGCGCAGAAGAAGGCACAGTCAGCCGATGAAGAGGCTGGAAAATTGCTGCAGGAAAGAGAAGGGGATGGAAATGGAAATGGGAGAAAAGGAGATTCACAGGCCTAAATTGAAAACATATGGGTATTTGCTATTTGAGATTCGCATTTCTTGCTCACAATTATGTTGTTGTACTTTTATAGAGTAAAAATCTCAACTTTTTCCAAATTTTTGCTACTGCACTGGGTAGAGATTTTTCTTGTCTCTATTTCTTTTTGTCTTGTTTGTATATGAACCTATTTGGCTTATATGAATCATTGCCATCTTTATGTCTTTCTGTCTATCAAAGATATTGAGATTGATTTGGTATATGAATCATTGCCATTTTTAGTTGCATTGTATTGCATATACTTGTCTCAGTACATCGAATGAAGCATAGTGACGCGTAAAGATTCATTTAGACCTCATATTTAGTGGCATATGGTGTGATTAGTGTTTCTGTAGTGAGAGTCCAAAAGGGTTAGTTGCTGTCAAATGTTGATGTTCTCTGTAGGTCAAAGATAGTATAAACTGCGGCTACTTGGTTAGCGGTGAACTTAACGGAATCATGCAAGGAGATTCATGTAGTATGTGTGTGTGGATGGGGTGGAGGGGGGGGGGGTACGATTAGTTTCTCATTGTGGTGTGATGCCTTTTTGAGTGATACCAGAAGTTGAACTTGTATTCAGTTTGTTTATTGTGTGTACTTTAGAGATGAATTTTGGCCATTGAAGGTTAGTTTTAGAGAATGAAGTTGAAGCTTTCATTGCAAAAGATAAAAGTTCTGTGGAAGCACGATTTGCTGTCTAGTTTGATGTCATATAGTGCTTGCTTGTTGCTCGAAGAAATTAGGTTCTGTGTATCGAGCTCTCTCCCTTATTCGACTTGTCCATCCTTCTTCACCAACCTGTTCAACAAAAGACCAAATTTTATATGTGGGTGGGGCAATACCATTTAATATAATGCTTCCGTCGACTGAAGCTCTCTTCGTTGTTCGGCTCCTTCATCCTCCTTCTCGAACTGTACAACAAGACAGAATTTTGTTTGTGGGTTGAGGCTTGTTGAGGCCTTCATTGCTGTTTATAGGGCCATGGCCTTCTTCCGCTACAATTCTACATTTTCCGCCAATTTTTCCGGTTCGCTCCTACATATTCCACGTCCTATGGCAACTGTACTGAAGTGGGTTGACATAATTTTGGACTTATTCTTTAATTGATATTTGAGTTTTCAATAATTTTCTCAGATGAACTCGTTCTCACGGTTGTAGTTTTTCCCAGGTAGGATTGGACTTGGGGGAGGTGGCATTTCGAGTGGTTCTTGTGTTGACTTAGATAAAAATAATATTTTTATTAGATTTTAATAAAAATTGATGGAATGTGTGGTTGGAAAGTTGTGATTTAATGAAATGTGTGGTTAAAATTAATTGTTGATTTTTGACTTATATTTTAATTCAGATTTTAGTTGAATCAAACCGAGCTTAGTAATATTTGGTTAAAAAAAATACAAGGGTAAAGTTAACAAAACATGACAATAGGAAACAAGGGCTGCAAATTTTTCCTGCTGAAACGTAAACCATATGTCTTTCAATGTTCCCCGTTTTCTTTAATTTTTCATAATTATTATTCATAAAGTTTGATTTGATTAGGCAAAAAAATTTGAGATCACAAGCTGATGAATTTCATAAAATGTGTTGTTAAAAGATGGATAAAAGTTGTCGATTCAATAATATGTGTCGTTAAAATTGACATTTGATTGACTTAAAATTTGAGGAACTTTACCGAACGAGAGCTCAATGTTCGGTATAAATAAACTAATAAATTAAAGTCCAACTTATAAATAGTGATTTTTCTATAAATGATTTCTGAATACAAAATAATCTTGTAATTTTCTACTATTGTTCTTAATGAGGAATTTGACATACTCATTTCCTTTCAACACACTCGTAAGGTGTTTGGTAGGAATTTTGAGAATTGATTTTTTGATCGTTACAGGAAAAAGTGAGTCATATCTGTGAGAGAACAATTCAAAAATGTCGGCTGAAATATTAAAATAACGTTCAAAAAATTAATTTTAATTGGCTTAAAAAGCCCTACCAAACACCTCAATAAGCTTTTTCATCGAGTAAATTTAACCAATGCTCATTGAACTTTACACTTGGTTACTACTTGCTCACTCATCTTTCATGGGTTACTGAATGCTCACTCATCTTTTCATATAATTAATTATCTACCACTCGTCTCTTCAAATAATTAGGCGACTTTTGCGGCAACTTTTCGACAACTTTCGACCACCAAGAATGTCAAATTTTGATACCGTTGGAAAGCTCACGATGTCTTCTTCAATTACCACCCAAAATCTCCTTATAACTCCAAGGGATTCAATCGAAAAATTGCCTTGATAGTCGTCCAAAAATTCTGAAAATCTGCCTAGATTTTCAAATTTTTTGGGCGACTTTTAAGGCAAATTTTCGACAACTTCCGACCATCAAAATTGCTGGATTCTGATACCGTTGGAAATTCCACAATTTCCTCTTCAATTATCACCCAAAATTTCCCCATAACTCCAAAAAATTCGATCAAAATAAACCCACAAAGTTAGCATTCTGAAAAGGCGAAAATTTGGACACAGTTCGGGATGCTGATTTTATGGGTTTATTCCGACCGAATCCTTTGGAGTTGTAGGGAAATTTTGGATGGTAATTGAAGAGGATATCGTGGGCTTTCCAACGGTATCAAAATCCGGCAATTTTGATGGTCGGAAGTTGCAGAAAAATTGCCTTAAGAGTTGCCCAAAAATTTTGAAAATCTAGACAGATTTTCAGAATTTTTGGGCTAATTTTAAGGCAATTTTCTAATCGAATTCCTTGGAGTTATATGGAGATTTTGGGTGGTAATTGAAGAGGATATCGTGGACTTTCCAACGGTATCAAAATTCGACATTCTTGGTGGTCGAAAGTTGTAGAAAAGTTGCCGCAAAAGTCGTCCAATTATTTGAAGAAACGAGTGATGGATGAGTAAATATATTGAAAGATGAGTAAGCATTCAATAATCCGTGAAAAATGAGTGAGCAACTAATAACCAAGTGTAAAGTTCATTAGTTAAATTTACTCCTTTCTCATCTAAATTCTCAGTCCCATCTAAATTTCCAGCATAGGTTGAAAAAGTTTTCAAGATCAGCGTTTCAGGTGTTTGATAAATTTCCTAACCGAGCTTTATTCCTCTGTCTTCAATGTGCTGGACTCTGCATTCTCCATTATCTTGCTTTCGATTTTTTTTTCCCAAAAATGCCGGCAATGGATAATCTTTCAACTAACAATGGATAATTGGTGCTGATGCAGTTTTTGACTATTAACAACTCCATGCCCAACATCTACATCAACCTGTCAAAACACTTGAGGAAAATAGTCAACCGACAATTTCTTCTCCTTCGCATTGGATCAAAACCCATCTCAACCACCACTGTCCTAGTCCCCACCCACGAGCAAATAGCCCATCTCATTTTGGATCAAAAATCCGCAAGCCAAGCTCTCGAGACCTTCAGATGGGCATCCGGACTCACCAATTTCACTCACAATCTATCCACATACAGAGTCTTGATACACAAGATATGCAATTTCCGGCAATTCGACATTGTCAAACAAGTGCTTGACGAAATGCCGAACTCAATAGGTTTGCCTCCCGATGATGACATTTTCGTCACCATAGTACGCAGTCTTGGGAGGGCTAAAATGACCCGGGAAGTGATCGGCGTACTGGACTTGGTTTCTAAGTTTGGAAAGGGCCCTCCATCTTTGAAACTGTTAAATTCAATTCTTGACATTCTTGTCAAGGAAGATATTGACGTTGCAAGAGAATTCTACAGGGTGAAAATGATGCGGAGTGGGGTTCAGGGTGATGATTACACTTATGGAATTTTGATGAAAGGACTTTGCTTGACAAATAGAATTGGTGATGGGTTTAAACTTCTGCAAGTAATGAAGACTCGCGGCAAGAAGCCAAATGTTGTCGTCTATAACACGTTGATCAATGCTCTTTGCAAGAATGGCAAGGTCGGGAGAGCCAGGAGCTTAATGAGTGAAATGAAGGAATTTAATGACGTGACTTTCAATATTTTCATATCAGCATATAGTAACGAGAATAATATCGTGCAGGCTCTTACTATGATCGAGAAGTGCTTTAGTAATGGGTTTGTGCCGGATATTGTACCTCTGACTAAGGTGATTGACATTCTGTGCAACGCAGGGCGGGTTTCAGAGGCAGTTGAGATTGTAGAGAGAATGGAGGAGAAAGGAGGGACAATTGACGTTGTGACTTATAATACTCTGATCAATGGTTTCGTCAGAATAGGGAAAGTTAGAGTGGGGTGTCGTTTTCTTAAGGAAATGGAGATAAAGGGATGTCTGCCGAACATTGACACATACAATGCCTTGATCTGTGGTTTCTGTGGATCCGGGATGTTGGATTCAGCTGTTGAAATGTTTCACGAAATGAAAAGAGTCGGTTTAGTTTGGAACTTTGTCACCTATGATACATTAATTTATGGTTTGTGTTCTGGTGGAAGGATGCAAGATGGGTTTAAGATCTTGGAATTGATGGGAGAGAGTGGAGGGGGTTCTATCAGTCGCCTCAGGCCTTATAATAGTATTATATATGGTTTATACAAAGACAACCGTTTGGATGAAGCACTCGATTTTCTAAAAAGCATGAGAAATTTGTTTCCTAAGGCTGTGGATAGGAGTTTGAGGATACTTGATTTCTGTCAGGAGGGTGGTACAAGGGAAGCAAAGAATGTTTTCAATAAGATGATTGAAGAATACAGTTTTCCAAGTGCTTTAATTTATGCAAGTTTAGTTCAAGGATTCTGCCAAAATGGATGTATGAAGGAAGCAGTCGAGCTAGTGAATGGGATGATGAGTGTCAGTTATTTTCCTGTTGCATCGACTTTTAATGCCTTAATCGGTGGGTTCTGCACGCAGGGAAACACTGGGAGCGCTTTGAAGTTCTTGGAGGACGTAATGGAGAGAGGATGTTTGCCTGATTCTGAAAGCTACGGTATTTTACTCAATGCGTTATGTAGTGAAGGGAACGTTCAAAAAGCTTCAATGTTGTTTCTGCAAATGGTCGAAAATGGTATTCTTCCTGACCATCATTCATGGAATGCATTGGTTCTCTGCCTTTGTAAGGGATCGGAATGGATAGAACGCAAGAATATTTTCCATGTGCATAAACTATTACAGTGCCTTACAGAAACCTGAGTTTTTACTATAAGAAATAGTCGTAAGAATCTTTGTTACAAACCTGAAGTTAAATATATAAATCTTTTTTATTCTATCTTTTTAAAGCTCAATTGAAAATACA